CCAAATTATCCAGAGAACACTCCAAACTACCCAGAGTACTCCAAACTACTCAGAGAACACTCCATAACTACCCGAAGAATACTCCAAACTACCCACAGGGTACTCCAAACTGAACAAAGCAGGACACAAAGCCTCCTCGATTTGCACTTGACTACTAACGTAAATAAAGGTTGGTGGTTCGAACCCACCCAGCGGCTCTGCAGGGGAAAGGCCTGGCAATCTGTTTCCGTAATGATGGCAGCCAGGAAAACCCTACAGAGGAGTTCTAGTCTGTTAACACCTGGGGTCGTCACGGGTCGGAATCGACTAGACAGCAACAGGTTTGGGTTTTTTTCCTTCTTGTGACTAAACCATGTCAAAGGAAGAAAGAACTAAAGCAACGAAGTTGCAACCAACAGGCTCGGGAAACAATGAGGCCATGGGGACACGGGGTTACTTAATCCCATCTACGAGCCAGCGAACTAGTGACAAGCTCCTCGGGAAGTCAGAGAAAGTAGGGAAAGGGCAGCAAGATTCCTTCCACGTAGTTCCAAGGGTGAGGCCTGGGGTTCTTCAGGGCAGTTAGATAACAAGCCAACAAGGGGGGCGCGGGGACTGCTGTCTCGGCCTTGGTTTAGGAGGAGAAAGACCACGTATGCGTTTACCTGACTAGCAGACAGAGGACGAGGGCGAGACGGCGGCGAGACGGAGACCTGCGCCTTCTGCATTGCTTCCGTGTGAAGCATGTGGTCATATTCACAGTTTTAAGAACTGCATTAAATTTTAACGTAAGGGGAAAAAAACTGCTGTCCAAAGAACTCTTTACGAATAAAGTGGGAGAAAATACAAATAAATAAAAGGCGGAGGGCCCCAACCCCAGATCTGCAGGCTGCATTCTCGAGCAGAGCCCGCCACGCGGCCAGCCCCGTTCACGCACTCTCACCCAGGCCGGCGTAGGTCCTCCGCTTGCTCAGGCTGGCGGCCTTCACCAGAAACATGCACGACTGGTGTGTCATCCAGGAGCAGAACGCCAGGAGCAGCGCCCCCAAGACGATGCCGCACTGGGGACGAGAGGAAACGGTCATGAGACAAGACTCCTGGGGTCTTCGGCCCACACGGTGAGTACCGCTCCCACGGCCCCCACAGGGGGTACCGTTTACGTGGCCTTTGTTTTTTTAACGTGGTGAAAATACACACACCACAACACACACCAGCACAACATTCACAATTCGATGACACGGATCATATTTTTCATGTTGTGGCACCGATCCTGCCATCCTTTTCCAAAACACTGCATCCCACCACTATTAACATCAACCCCGTGCCCCAAGCTCCCCCACCCCACGCCACCCCACGTAAACCTAAGGCTCCAGCTGTGCTTCACGCCCGCTGCCGGTGACCACACCAGCTCTGAGAAGGGCACGCGCTTCGTCCAGCAACATAAAATCTCTGCGTGACTCCGGAAGAGCCCAGAGACCTCGCCCTGTCCCAGCTCCTCTGCGAGTTTCGGGCGTTTCAAAGAGCAGACCCCCACCACGTACCACTTTTTATAGACACTTGGATCAACAGCTACGAGTGGTAAACGCTTGCTGGAAGGGAGAGATTAAAAACGACACATACACCTTTCTCATGAAGTTCAACAGACACGTGCCCTGTGCCCAGCAACTGCACTCCTGCCTATCTACCCAAGAGAAATGAAGACAGGTGTTCACACAGCAACCTGTGTGCTGATGCTTAGAGCAGGTTTCTCCTGCGAGACAACCCAAAGGTCCTTCAGCAGGTAAACGGGTAAACCAACTGTGGTCCACCCATCCAAGGGCACATTACTCAGCAATAAAAAGGGGCGAAGTATTCACACACTACAAACCTAGCTGGCACCTCCAATGCATCATACTGAACGAGAGAAGCCAGACTCAAAATGTCACTTGGCATTCTGGAAAAGGCAAAACTCCAGAGAACAGCTCTGCGCCGCCAGGGGCTGTCAGGGGAGCAGGGCTGACTCCAGAGCCAGAATTTGGGGGAGGGGGGCTGTTCTACGTCTTCACTGTGGTGGGGATCCTGTGACTGCACGGAGACATCGACACGCAGAACTGCACACTGCAAAGAGTGAATCTGCACGTAACCCATTGCTGTTAGCTGCCGTTGAGGGGGTTCCCAACTCACGACCCCACGCACCATGGGACCGGACCACTGTGATCCACGGGGTTTTCACTGCCTAACTTCCGGGCCTTTCTTCCTAGTCCATCTTAGTCTGGAAGCTCCGCTGAACCCTGTTCAGCATCATAGCAACGTCAAAGACTCCACTGCCAGATGGGTGGTGGCTGCGCGTGAGGTGCATCTGCCAAGAATCGAACCCAGGTCTCCTGAGCCGAAGTAAACAATTCTACCACTGAACCACCACGTACCCGCATGTAAACTAACCCTCAATAAATCCGAATTTGTTTTGAAGTGCCAAAACTACTTTAACCAAACATCGAAAACATACTCCCCGAAGTGCCTGCTGGGCTCACGCGGGCTCCAGTCCAAGAAGGGTGGCAGGTGGGAAGAGGATCCCACAGAGAAGACAGTCCACGGAGAGCGGCCTCAGCTCCCTGCGGCGGCCCGGCCTCACACGGCCGCACTCTGACCGCTTGTGGTTCCTGTGTGCACCCCGGTTTCCCCAGAGGCTGCTCCCCGGGCCCATGGGCCTGGTCAGCTGCACTTGCTCCGGCAGCAGCACTGTGGTGCCTGCCCACCACACGGCCACACGCAAATGCTCAAAGTCTGTGGACAACCGAATCTCCTGGGCCCTAAAACATATTTTAACAGGTGTCTCAATCAGCAAAATAAACAAACAAACCCACGGCCATCGAGTTGACTCCGACTTATAGCGACCCAACAGGACAGGGTAGAACTGCCCTGCAGGGTTTCCAAGGCTGTAACCTTTATAGAAGCAGACTGCCGCATCTTTCTCCCGTGGAGAAGCCGGTGGGTTCGAACTGCCGAACTTTTGGTGAGCAGCCGAGCACTTAACCACTGTGCCACGAGGGCTCCTTGTCTCAATCACAGCCCTATCTAAACCTGGCTGCGGTGGCACTTTCAACAGCTGTCCAGGAGATGACCTGCCAACACTACACATCCCAGGAGGCAGTCTGCTCTGACGGGAAAGTCACAGTGCATGCTGGGACATGCGGTCACTCCAGAAACACCGGAGGGGGTGCCACGCTGGAATCCAAAAGGCCTCAGTACAGATGTTGCCCCAGGACCCTAGAAGCTGCCAGCTCAGCCGTTGGCCACCTGCTGCTGGCAAAGTCCCAGTCCTCAAACCCACTCATTCGCCAGCCAGGCCAAATGTCCAGCTCACAGGACCTCTGAACACGCCTCACCCAGGGCAGCTGGCGGGCTCAACGTTCCGCACCAAAAATCTCCAGAAAGAAAAAAAAGATTTTTTTGCTATGTTTATCCAAAAGACACAAACTATAAAAACCTCAAAGTGTCTGTTAATCTAAAGTTAAACTAATATCACTGGTCAATTTGTGTGGAAATGCTCAAAGGGGCATCTAACTTGTACAAACTTTAACCAAAAACATTAAAATATTATTTAAAAATAATAGTAAAATTAAACTACTCTAGGTGCCCACTTTCAGTCCCAAAATGTCCACCTTGTTTTCATTTTTCTACCCCTTTGGCTTCGTCAAGTACGGCTGGTGGCAGATGGTGTCTTTGTGGCCCTTCCGACCACCTGCCCTTGCCCTGAAGTCCCTCTGTTCTCTCCCCACCCACAACCAGCCGGCTCTAGCGGCAGCTGCTCTGGGTGAAGCAGGGGAACAGCAACTCTGCCATAACCAACAACATGCTTGAGAGAAGTTCACTTGTTAAGAAAGAGCCCACTTAGCCACAAAGAAAGAAGGTATCTCCACCAGCCTCCCTTTTCCAGAGTACCGAACGCCTTTGTGTTTGTGGACCACTGAAACAGAAGCCAACTAAATCCACACATCGGAAATGGTCACTTTCTTCCATAGAGTATTCCATGACGGACTGACACCGACTTTCTAGCATATTAGATTTTTTTCATTGGAGGAAAAATTTGTACACAGTGAAATGCAGAAGACTGTGTACAGCTTGGTGAATTCTGACAACTGCAATCATCTTGCAATTAACACCCCTTCTAGTTTTAAGGCCTGGAAGAAGCGCTTGAACAGTGTGCTCCTGAGTGTAAGTGCAGAACAATAATAATTCTGAATCCTCTAGTGTTCATTTGTGGAAGTCCACTTTGCGTTGTGACACTTCATCCCCGGATACAAAGTTTTTCATTGTGCGGAACTTTGGGGCCCAGGCTGACCGGTGCTGCCAGGCCACATACTGGGTGAGTTTTTCACCACTAGAATTCTTTTCTGATTTCCCTGAAGATTCCCGGGGAGCCAGGGTAACACTGCCCAGGGAATGCCGTCTGTTTGTCAATGCCCTTTTGGGGCCGCCACCACCCAGCCCTAGTTATGTCTTCTCAGTGGAGCCACAGGCACTTTAACAAGGTGACCCTCGGGCGAGATGCCTACTCTCACCTGGGGACGAGGGCGAGGACCACCGCACCTGCGGCCCCCGCGGCCACCTGGCCCGCAGGCCACCGGTCCCCCCGGGCGGCCGGGGCGCACTCACCTGTTTGAAGCAGAAGGGCATGGTGAGGACACTGACCCCCACTATGCTGTTCACTATGTTGGTGATCAGCCCCCAGTTGGAGGCGGCGGCCGGGGTCATAGTGGGGGTCTGGGGGCCCGGGACCCCCGGCTCCCGCAAGGCCTGGCTCCGGCCGGTGCCCCGGGGGTCACTGGACAGCCGGCCCTAGAGCCGCAGCCCGAGTGCCGGGACGACAGCGGGGACGACGTGGGCGCCGCGGGCAGGGAGGGCCCCCTAGGAGGGACGGCGGGACGACGCGCGCGGGATGGGGGGCTGCCTGGAGGAGGTGCCGAGGGACGGCGGCGGGCTCAACCTCCAGAGTCCGCCGGGCCCCGCGGCCGCCTCATGGCCACCGCCCCTCGCTCTGCCTCGCGGCCGCCTCCGCGTCCCCGAGCCCAGACCCGGAAGAGCCAGGAGATGCCCGCTAGAGACACCTCAACCCGGCTTCGCAGTCTCGCCGCACACACTTCCGCCTTCCGCCGGCGCCTATTCCCGGAAGTAACGGTAGGGGGCGGGGCTCGAAAGGGCCGCAGACCAGCGAGGGGCGGGTCCGGAGGGACCGGCGTGGCGGGGGCGGGGCGAGCTTGTGGGCGGGTCCTGAGGCGGGATCCGGGCGGGAATGGGCGGGGCCGGCGCTGGTCCTCTCGCCGAGCTGAGTTCTCAGCCTGGTTTTGGGGGCAGGAGGACCCAGGCCTCCACCAGGACAGTGGAGGGCACGGGAGAAGGGGGAGCGCTGCGCCTTTCGGAGAACAGCATCGGTAGTTTGGGGGTCCCGTTTCAGCGATTAAATCGTAGGCCCTATTTCGGGGTGTTTGCTCGGCTCGAGGGCGTGACCTGGGCAAGGGGTGCGGGGGCGGGGGCGGGTCCTAACTGCTTGAGCTGACAGCTTAACAACCTATTCCGAGGAATTACCGTCTACGTTTTACAGATGAGACGCCGAGACAAGCTTTGGTGACTGGTCTAAGGTCACATAGCTTGGAGAGGGGGCCTGGGGTGGGAGGGGCCAGTGCTCTGCACAACTGCACGCAGGGCTGATGCTGGGCGAGAGGAGGGAACGTAACAGGTAAAAGCAGCAAAGGGAATGCTGCGAGAGGGCAGGAGAGGGACTGACTTGGCCCGAGAAATCTAGGAGGTTGGACCAGGAGGGACAAGAAATAAGGGCGCGGGGAGGAGCAGAAAAGGACCCCGATACATTCATGAACCCCTGGCACCAGGCAAATGCTTACTGTGTATCTGGAAATGAATGAGTAGCGACCAGGAGGTCGGAAGGGCGTTCTCGGAAATAGGCATAGCAAGGGTAAGGAGCGCCCAGGGACAATCTCTAAATTTGCGCCTGCCCCCTCCGCCAGCCGGCCTAGTCGACAGGGGTGGAGGTGGGGGTGGGAGGTGAGCCGGCAGGTCTCATCTGGTGCCCCCTTGGACTTGCACCCCCAGGGAAATGCCCCCCTCAAGCAACCTTGACACGACTCTGCTCAGAAAGAAGCAAGTGACTGGAAGCAGGCTGGAAGTGTGTACAGGAGGAATCAAAGGCTGCTGGGAGAGCGTTAGGTGGAGAGGAGGCCATGTTTGCAGGCACATGAAGGATCTTGGTTTTTGGAGGAGAGGCTGACTCCACAGGCACCAGGCAGGAGGACCATTAGGGACTGCTCTGCCCCACCTTGAAGCCGAAGAGGAGGAAGAGGATGTACCAGGGTAAAGAGTAACTAAATGCAAAGCCAGAATAAAAAGTGCCTGCTTTCATTTATTTTTATATAAATGAAATCATCCACACATTCTATAACTTGCTTTTTATTAATTACGTAGTTTTCATGAAATATTATGCATACCACATAGGGTATATAACTGAAATATACATTCTAACAAGTAACAATAAGCACATATTCGGCTTTAAAAACGGAATACTGCCAGAAACTTAGATACTCCCTGTGGCTCCCTCCCTAATTCTACGCCCTCCTCCCTCTTCCCTGCCATCCTGGGGTAATCACTATCCAGATTTTATCAATTCATTACTTTTCGTTAAAGGTTTCCCAAATATGGGCATATCCCTAAGCAATTATAGGGAAGACTGCTACTTATCTCTTGATATTCATTTACCCCATCTTCCAAAATAATAGGACTTTGACCTGTGCACATGGCTGCTTAGAATAAAGAATACACTTTCCAGCCTCCCTTGCAGCTAGGTGTAGCCATGTGACTACATTCTGGCCGATGAGAAGCTAGCAGGTGCAACTTCTATGTCAGTCCTTGAAAAGAGGCATGGTCTGCTTCTTCCTCCTCCTTCCTTCATCCTGCTACTGAGAACATAGACATGTATGGCAGGAAGCCGTCTTGGACTGTGCAAGCAAGGGCAACGTTGTAGCAGAAATGGAACAACAAACTATAAGGAGCCTGGGTCCCTGGACTATATCATGGAGCAGAGCCGCCAGAGTAGCCCCAGACCACCTCCTCCAGACTGCTACATGAGAGGCAAACCATCTTGTTTAAACCTCTGTTATTTTAAACTCGTCTTTCTCACAGGCAAATACAATGGAGTGCTGGGATGGGATGTTTTTTCACTTTTTACTTTGATACTAAGGGGATTATACTGTATGTATTTTTCTGCAACTTCCTTTCTTCACTCAACTCTAGGTTTCCAAGATTCACCATGGTATTGCACATGCTTGGAATCATTCACTTGCCCCGGCAGAGGCTGAGAGTGAGTGCTGCTGCAGGCAATGCAGAGACGGACCTGAGAGTTGTCCTGGTTGGAAGCTATCCCGATTGACGAACTGTATCCTGCCTCCTGAGTTGTTCCTGCTACTTTCAAGTTGATCCTGATCCTGAATTGTAACCTGTTACTTCCCTAATAAACCCCATAACTATGAGTGTGGTTGGTGAGTTCTGTGTGGCCACTGTGAAGAATTATCAAACCCAGCAGAGGAGTACCGTGGGAGGGATGGCTGGTGTCAGAATTGGTAGAAAGTTTGTAGAGTGGAGGTATGTCTGACCTCCACCTCACTGGAATCCACCTTGGGCTGATGCTGATTCTCATCCCTCCCTATCATGGATTGAATTCTGTCCCCCCAAAAATGTGTGCATTAATTTGGCTGGACCATGATTACCAGTATTGTGTGATTTTCCTATACGTTGTAAATCCTGTCTCTATAATGTTAATGAGCTAGGATGGGTGGCAGTTGTGTTAGTGAGACAGGACTCAGTCTACAAGATTGGACTGTGTCTTGAGGCAATCTCTTGAGACATAACAGAGAGAAGCAAGCAGAGAGATAGAGGGAACTCCTACCACCAAGAAAGCAGTGCCAGGAGCAGAGCGCGTCATTTAAACCTGGGGACCCTGCGCAGAGAAGCTTCTAGTCCAGAGGAACATTGATAAGAAGGCCAACAGAGAGAGAAAGCCTTCCCCTGGAGCTGACACCTTGAAGTTAGACTGTCTTTTAGCCTACTTTACTGTGAGGAAATAAACTTCTCTTTGTTAAAGCCATCCGCTTGTGGTATTTCTGTTATAGCAGCACTAGATGACTAAGACTCTCCCCCTGAAGTTAAAGGACTTCTGTCGTTACCACATTACACCAATTATTTGCCACTATCAACAGTGATGCAGTGAACATTATTGTACATGTTTCCTTAATGTCAATATGTTAAACTTTCTCTAGGGTAAACCCCTAGAAGTGGAAATGCAGATTCAAGTGTATCCTTACCTTTAAATTGCCAAAATTGTTCTTCAAAGCAGTTAAAATAATTCTTGGTGTTTTACTTCAGAGGTTGGTAGACTTTATGTAAAAAGTCAGTTAATAAATAGTGTCTGCTTTTCGGGCCATACATTCTCTGTCACAGCTACTCAGTCCTGCTGTGGTAGTGTGAAAGCAGTCATAGACAACATGTAAACAAATAAGCGTGTCTGTATTCCAATAAAACTTTATTTACAACAACAGACGGTGGGCCAGATTTGACCCAAGGGCCTTAGACTGTGGACCCCTGCTTGACATTGTCACAAACATTTGGTATAATCCATTTGGCCAATCTAGTGACTAAAATTGAATCTCATTATCTTACAGTTCTGTCAGAAGTCCGATGTGGATCTCACTGGACTAAATCAAGGTGTTGGTGGGCTTCCTTTCTTTCTGGAAGTTCTAAGAGAGAATCGAATCTATTTCTTGCTCAATCAGGTTGTTGGCAAAATTCATGTCCCTGTTTTTTTTGCTGGCTATAAAGAGAGCCATTCCCAGCTTCTAGACACTGCCACATTCCTTGGCTCCGGACTCCCTTCCCCCATCCCCAAAGCAGCAATGGCGGATTGAGTGCCCACACCGCACCTCTCGGACCAGCCGGAAAAGGCTCCCTGATTTTAAGGATTGGTGTGATTACATTGGGCCTACCTGGATAATCCAGGATAATCTCTCCATCCCTTAATCACATCCACAAAGTCCCTTTTGCCATGTAAGGTAACATAGTCACAAGTTCTAAAGACTAAGGGGTGGACATCTTTTGGTGGGGGTGGGGGGGGCATTATTCTGCTGACCACACTGACAGTGAGGTCTGGTTGTGCTTCTTTGGCAGGAAGAGCATGGAAGCAAGGCTGTTTTGTCATTGGGTCCTACCAAGGAGTGCACGATTTGTCCCTGGTGGTGCAAACAGTTAAGCTCTCGGCTACTAACCAAAAGGTTGATAGTTCAGACCCATGCGGCAGCTCCATGGGAGAAAGAACTGGTAATCTGCTTTCATAAAGATTACAGCCAAGAAAACTCTATGAGGCAGTTCTACTTTGTCAGATGGGGTCGCTATGAGTTGGAATTGACTCAGCAGCACACAACAACAATAACGTTTACTGTCTTCATTGGACTCAGCAGGCTTCTCCACAGTGAAGCTGCCTCTTTCTCCTTTGTAATTAATATCTCGGGTGAAGGTACTTTGAAACTAAATATCCTGGTCTTTATCAAAGTTTCAATTTACTATTTATTTATATCAGTATGGACTTGTGCTTTCCTATTTTATTCAATGAGTTATAATCTGTTACTATCATTTTTTATTTTGATGCTCAAATTGTCCCATATTAGGCCAGTGGGAGCCCCTTCGTCTGGCTCCTGTGTCCTTTCGACATGTCCCCATCATTCTTGGAGCCCTTCCTTGCTTTCTGGCCCAAGGTGCTCCAGGCTTGTCTTGTACTTTCCCTGCCCCAGCCTGGAATCAATCGTTTCTCCAAGGAGCCCTGGTTCCTTTCATGGAGATGGTATTTAGAAGCCAAGATCTGGGCTCTAGGTGTGCTTATTGCTATCCAGGTGCCTCTGCCCCCAGACACCCCCAGTGAACAGAGCTAGGGAGTACAAGTGTGTGTCTCACACATTTAAGTCTACATTGATTTCTAAGTCTATCTACGTATATCGAGAGCCATGAGTTCACACCTACACTTCCAATTCCAGTCCAAAGTCACAGGGCTCATCCTAGTTTTT